TTGGGGCTTGGAGGGGAGAGCAGTAACGGCTTCCTCTGCCTCCGGTTGCCCTCGCAGCCACTGTGTACTCACCTGATAAAGTACAGGGCATTGTTCCGGGTGCAGTCGACGATCATAGACCTTGTAGCCGCAGAATGAACACGGGTGTCCCTTGGCAAGGTGAGGCGAGAAACCCTGACATATAGAGACTGCGCGCTTGTGCAGCCTTGACCAGTCCTTAGGATGCGCCTGACGGAAGTGTGACTTGACTTTAGTGTGATCGAAAGTCCAGAAGTCACACGTGAGGCACCTATGGATCAGGACCCGGGCCTCCGGCGTCTTTGAGATCACCGCTATTCGATGTTGTGGGAGTTGGGCAATGTCCTGTCGCAGCTGGGACAGGGTCCTTACCTCAGGGTGACTTGAGTGTTTGTCAGTCACGTTCAGAGTGCGAAGCTTCTGGGGTTCCGGACATGCTCCTGACAACAAGTGGTCACGTAGACCTTTCCATTGATGAAATTTGCGCATGCAAGCGGCACATTGCGGCATCCCATCCACCGCGTGGAGTTGCCGATCGAAGCTTGATGGCACAAATCGGTCAATGCTGGCTGGATGCACTCTCGACTTGTGTAAGTGTAACCCGTTTGCTGTCTCGAAGGAGGCATCGCAGAGTGTGCATGCATGTAGGGCTACAGGGTGCTCAACTGTTTCAGGGAGCTGTGACATGAAATGCAGCTTGTCCCGGATGACTTGCAGGACAGAAGGGTCGGTTGTGATATCTGGGCTTCTGGCTGCACGCCGCTCAAGTTTGCGGAGTCGCTTCCTGAGCTTGACCTGCATCGCTTGAACTGGGTCCTGTATGCTATAAAGCTGGAAGAGGTCCTTAGTGGTGATGCGGCTGGTGTGTGCTGGCAAGTTCAGCACTGATCGCACCTTGTAAGCATGCCAACTGCGTAGCTGCTTGGCCGACTCCTCGCTGAGTCCGACGTCTGAAAGGCCTGTAGTCAGTGTGCTCAGGACTGTGCTTTGCCAAACCTTAAGTCTCGACATGGTGCTCGCGTGCCGGCGATTGTAGACAAACTGGCGGACTTGATGCAGCTTTTGCTTGGCTTCCCCAATGCGGTAATGTAAGGACTGCAGCTCGAAGTGGTTGTAGGAGATCATAACCCCCAGGTACTTGCTACAGGAGACCCACTGGAAGGCGGGGAAAGACTTGTTGGGCCCTATGCGCCATCCGCGAACCTGCTCGCCCTTGGAGTTGGTGATCCAGCAGCCATGTTTGTTCATCACGTTTTGGGATTCTCTTCCCGCTAACTTCACTAGGATGACGCACTTGCTAATGTTGACGCGAAGGCGGTGTTTTCGGACCTCTTCAAGTAGCGCTGCGATGAGAGCATGAATGGCCCTGAGGTCCTTGTCAGAGCGGATAGTCCGATGAAGCGTGAGATCATCGGCATAGCCTGTCAGGAATTTCAAGACCTGCTCAGCACCGAATAGGTCAACCAGAGAGCGGAAAAGGTCACCTGTAAGGAACGAGAAGAGCGTGGGGGCGAGCTTACATCCTTGTTTAATGCCTGCTGTGGTTTCGACAGAGGTGGAATCTCCCTGCGCGTGAAGAACATAACGAGACCCGTCATGTAGAGCCTGAACAAGGTGGACTGTGTCCTGATCGGCCCCTTCTCTCTGAAGAAGGTCGATGATCTCTTGGCGAGAGACAGTGTCAAACGCTTGGCTGAGGTCGAGAGCGAAGGTGAGGCCGCCTACTAAGGCTGGGGCCTGTGTGCCTTGTTGCAAGGCATGTCTCGTGGGGTGAGCCTGTTCCAACAGGGATCGAGCCTCTCGCAAGTGATGCACAACGCGTTCTAGCGCGTCTGACAGCCCCCGACCTGGTAGATAAGCGAACTGTGGCATGTGCTTAAGGAACGAGAGTGTCAGTGGTTGGAGCGCTTCTCTGGCCGCTCCCGCCAGTCCCTTTGCGTCAGGTCTAAGAATGCCCAGGGGCCTCAGGTTTGCGGGTTTGTCAGAGGGCTTGCCCGGCTTGGGTATTAGACAGAGATCTGCGTCTACGAGGTCGGATTCTAGTCTGTCCTCGGCCTGCTTGGATGCTACGTGTTCGGAGAGGACCGGTGCAACGAGATCGCTACACAGCCTCCATACAGCCGCTGGTGCCGCTCCGTCAGGAACAGCTTTGTTCGGTTTGATGGAATGTATGTGAGCTGCAAGTTTGGGTGGCTCTAAAGCAGGGAAAGCTCCATGCATTGTCCGTAACGGAGGGTGGGCCGCAAAGACCTGATTGGCATAGTCCCTGAGGGCTGCTAGTTCCTGCGCTGGACCTAGGAGATGTCCTGTGTTGTCCTTCAGCTGAGCTCTGCGCGCGGGCTGCCAAGGCTGCAGCTTTTTGAGGGTCTGGAAGGAGATATGTTGATCACCTTCAGCTAGACACGCATCCACCTCCGATATGAAACTCGCAATTCGATCTTTCTTTGCTTGTTTCACAGCCTGGCGATGCGCCACTTGTGCCAGCTCAGCTTCTGTTTCCGGCGGACGTGGCGTGTTCTGATTAGGAGGCTGTGCCATTGCTTTAGGTAACTCGATCAGCTGTGCTGAGGGAGTGGTATTCGCAGCCCTGTCATGAGTGCGGGCCCGCCACATGCGACGGGTTTCCGATTCCAGCGGGATCGGTCTTCTTTTGGGAGTTTTTGGGAAAAAGCGTTCTGCACCTTCCAAAAGCAACGCATTCCATGCCTTGGGGTCCTGGCAGGTGTCGATTCTGGAAGCGATCCAGTTGTGCAGGGCCTTGGCCGTATCGTCCTCCTCCCTGACTGAGGCTTGTAGAGCTAGTGAATCATACCGGCGCGTGCTGGGTTTGTGGGACGGGAGCAGCCAGTGGTGTTGGAGGGGTACGTCCGCCTTGAGTGGGTAATGCCCTCCTTTCTTCCAGCTGCCCAACGGACAGTCCACCCAAGGGGCTGACCGTTTGGCTTTGCCTCCCGCCGTAGATTCTTTGGTTAGAATGAAGTCAATTTGCGACTCCACGCCTCCTTGTGAGAAGGTAGCTATATGGTCACATTGCCAGGTGTTAAGGGCAACCAAACGCAGCCTGAGCAGCAGATTGAACAAGTTGGATTCGTCAGGGCGGTCCTCAGTGGGTGGCTTCACGTGCGTTCCCACCAATGGAGGGCTCGGACGCAAGGAGGTGTTAAAATCGCCTGCTACAATAAGGGAGTCCCTCTTAGGCACCTGCTTGACCACCTTGGACATGACAGATAGTACCTTAGCACGGTCGTCCTTATTGGACTGGATGGTCTTGGCAGAAGACCAAGCGTGTTGGTACACCGCGACAACAACCAGCCGAGTACCTGCAATGTCCGCACGAGCTTCTAAGACTCTACCCGGGCTCCACTCCTTCCAGCGTAAGCTCTTGGGGACAAACTTGGGAGAGAATAGGATCATGACTCCATCAGCGCGAGTCGTGGATGGAGCTCGCGGTTCTTGCCGAGTGTTTCGCTTCGCTGCTTGTTTAGGCCGGGTGTTGGGCTTGGTAGACTCCGAGGCTGAGGAGATACAGTACCACCCAGAAACGCTGAATTCACTGGTCTCAGTCCAGTGCGTTTCCTGCAATATGAGGATGTCGCAGTGATGAGAGGCTTCAGCTGCTAGCCATGTTTTGAGTTCGCCCCATTGCTGTTGGCCTAGGTGGCCCGCGTTCCACGAAAGAACTCGAATGGATCTTTCCAACCTTCCTGCCCTGCGGGAGGCTGTGCCATATGCAGGGGAGTCAGCAGTCTGTGACTGAAGCTCTCTTCGAGTGGGTGGGGGGCGCACCCCCAGACGATCAACCAGGGTAGGTGTCAGAACCTGCCCTCGGTATGGTACGGGCCCGTCACTACGGACTGTCCTTCTACATGCTGTCTTGAACGAATTCTTACGAAGAGATGCAAAGTTTTGTGAGTGCACTGGCAATTGCGCCATCCGCTACTTTCGTCAAAAGACAGAAGCCTAATGACTCCCTCCACCGCGCGGAGGTGGAAACCCTACCGCCTACCCAGTGTTGCAATGTTTTAAACAGAGTCTGGGCCCAGGAATTGGGACCTGGCGGCTCAAAGCAGCTCCTGTGAGCAAAGGGAGAGGACCATGGCGTAGAAGGAGGCACAAACCTTTACTGTTCAGAAAAGAGCCCGGTTGGGACCTCTAGCACAGCAGTTGCGCCCCAAGCCTGTTCGAAACCTCTCATTCAGCGCGGCCGCTTGAGCACTTGTGGCGGCTACTACTACTACTACTACCACTACTACCACTACCACCACTACTACCACTACTACCACTACTACCACTACGACTATCGCTACCACTACAACTGGTCCTCTGATGACGACTTGTGCTGCTGCTACTCCTGCCACTGCTCTTGCTGCTGCTGCTACTACCACTACAAGTATCAACCACTAACACTACCACTACGACTAGTAATACTCGTACTACTAGTACCAGTTACTAATTACTTGTTACTTGTAATAGTACTAGTACTAGTATTCCCCCAACCGCTGCCAATACTTTCTACTCTACCGCACTCTACCACTACCACTACCATTACAACTACTGCTGCTACTACTACTATACTACTACTACTACTACTACTACTACTACTACTACTACTACTACTACTACTGCTGGTGCTGCTGCTGCTGCTACTGCTACTGCTACTATGTCGTTATACTACCGCTACTACTTTTGCGAGGACGACTACTGCAGAGTCACAATCAATGCAAGAGGATCTGCTCCCGGCATGTGTGTAGCCAGCGTAGGGGTGAACTGGCTCAGGCTCCGCAGAAGCAGTGCGCATCGGTTGTCGGCACGCCTGAGCCTGAAAGCTGTTATCTTATGTTACAATTTCGAACACTCGCCGTGTCACTGGAAACGCCTTGGAAACCTTGTGTCCTTCGTTCAATCATACAATCACGCAACTAAAAGACCTTTGAGGCCACAAGGATCAAGGATACCCAAGCCTCTCTCAAGAAGAGGTGGGTTCAGATGTTAATTGTGGGTTCGGAGCCATCCGTGAAGCTCAAATCGACCATCAGCACATCTTCCAAGCCCGTGCTCTCCAAGATGGTACCTCAAAGATCTGGGAGGGGAGCCTGCATTGAGGGGTTTAGGGTCTGGGGTGTAGTAAGTTTGGGTTCTACTTGGGACCGACCGCGCGCGCCTGGAGAGACGGTCATGGAAGGTCGCGATTGCAGCGGCTCCCGGCCCTGCGCCGCGAGGCGTTCGACGATGATCTTCGCCTGAAGCTGAAGCTGCCTTTCGTTGGAGCTCCTGGAGCAAGATATAGGGGCCTAAACAGTTACCAATACTATTTTGGGGCTTCATTGTTAAAGGTACCAACGTGCTGTTCACGCGCGCCGCGCAGACGCCGACCGCATCGGTATTTACGGTGCTTCCTGAACCTTGCAGCCGAAAACGTCGCGCCTGTCGTGTTTTTCGGGGGTAGTGGAGGCGCGGGCGTTGAGGCATCGAATGTATCGGTATTTACGATGTTTCCTCGACTTTGCAGCTTGAAAACCTCGCACCTGCCGTTGTTTTCGCAGAGCATCCATGTGCCAACCATGATAACGTCCAGATCAGACCATATCCATTCCTGCAGAGCATCCATGTGCCAACCATGATAACGTCCAGATCAGACCATATCCATGCCCGCAGAGCATCCATGTGCCAACCATGATAACGTCCAGATCAGACCATATCCATTCCCGCAGAGCATCCATGTGCCAACCATGATAACGTCCAGATCAGACCATATCCATCCCGCAGAGCATCCATGTGCCAACCATGATAACGTCCAGATCAGACCATATCCATGCCCGCAGAGCATCCATGTGCCAACCATGATAACGTCCAGATCAGACCATATCCATTCCCGCAGAGCATCCATGTGCCAACCATGATAACGTCCAGATCAGACCATATCCATTCCCGCAGAGCATCCATGTGCCAACCATGATAACGTCCAGATCAGACCATATCCATGCCCGCAGAGCATCCATGTGCCAACCATGATAACGTCCAGATCAGACCATATCCATCCCGCAGAGCATCCATGTGCCAACCATGATAACGTCCAGATCAGACCATATCCATCCCGCAGAGACCATCCATGCCCGCACCCAACCATGATAACGTCCAGATCAGACCCATCCATTCCCGCAGAGCATCCATGTGGCAACCATGATAACGTCCAGATCAGCAGAGCATCCATGTGCCAACCATGATAACGTCCAGATCAGACTCCATCCATTCCCGCAGAGCATCCATGTGCCAACCATGATAACGTCCAGATCAGACCATATCCATTCCCGCAGAGCATCCATGTGCCAACCATGATAACGTCCAGATCAGACCATATCCATTCCCGCAGAGCATCCATGTGCCAACCATGATAACGTCCAGATCAGACCATATCCATTCCCGCAGCATCCATGTGGCAACCATGATAACGTCCAGATCAGACCATATCCATGCCCGCAGAGCATCCATGTGCCAACCATGATAACGTCCAGATCAGACCATATCCATTCCCGCAGAGCATCCATGTGCCAACCATGATATCGTCCAGATCAGAACATATCCATGCCCGCAGAGCATCCATGTGCCAACCATGATAACGTCCAGATCAGACCATATCCATGCCCGCAGAGCATCCACGTGCCAACCATGATAGCGTCCAGATCAGACCATATCCATGCCCGCAGAACATCCATGTGCCAACCATGATAACGTCCAGATGAGACCATATCCATTCCCGCAGAGCATCCATGTGCCAACCATGATAACGTCCAGATCAGACCATATCCATTCCCGCAGAGCATCCATGTGCCAACCATGATAACGTCCTGATCAGACCATATCCATTCCCGCAGAGCATCCATGTGCCAACCATGATAACGTCCAGATCAGACCATATCCATACCCGCAGAGCATCCATGTGCCAACCGTGATAATGTCCAGATCAGACCATATCCATTCCCGCAGAGCATCCATGTGCCAACCATGATAACGTCCAGATCAGACCATATCCATTCCCGCAGAGCATCCAGGTGCCAACCATGATAACGTCCAGATCAGAACATATCCATTCCCGCAGAGCATCCATGTGCCAACCATGATAACGTCCAGATCAGACCATATCCATGCCCGCAGAGCATCCATGTGCCAACCATGATAACGTGCAGATTCCCAGGGGGGATGGTTGTGGGGCCTTTGCATCCATGCTGTAGGAGCTTTCTTTCCAGACGCCTTTCTCGCTGAGGCGGCTCGCTTGTTCCGTGAACAGCTTTACTTAAACGCCTCGATGTGTCCAAAACCCAAGCCGCAGCGCATTTCTTACCAAAATACTGATAGTTTCCGTGCGTCGACCTTCTTCAGTTCCCACTGTTGCAAAGCCTGAAAGTGCTGCACCTGCCATGTAAAACTACGCTTCCTCCTGCTACATCCTTGGAAAGGCGCGCGTGAACAGCACGTTGGAGCGTTAATAAAACTCCTGAAAGAAGCGGTGTTGCCAACCAATCTTCAATGTCTCATTCTCAAAGTCTTCATAAGGTTCATAGTTCGATGGCCACGCTTTTGGAGCATCTTCTGGCATCATTGCACACACTCACACACAGTAGCACTCACTTAAAGGATGATGAGAATTGGTGGCCTACTGTTGCTTCTCCGACTTTCCCGTTTGAACCCGTTTGCATGTTGCTAAAGTTCCCCAACATGCCATCACAGCACCGGGCCCTTAGTTCCCTCCCTCGTCCTGGGCATGAAGGGCACCGAGATCTCGTGGAAGACAGCCTCCAGGACCCTGGTGTAGAGATTTACGTCCAAGCCATCCGATCCCTCGGAGAGGGAACGGCCCGCCAGCTTGTTGTAATCGAGGGAAGGGATCTGAAAGGAGTCCTCTGCGACAACTGGCAGGATGAAGCTGGAGTGGAGCCGGCCCAGCTGTAGGAGCCAGAGAGCCACCTGCGGGACCTCGAAACACCCGGCTGTGCAGAGCAGCAACGCCTGCGCGGTGCCCGAGACAGACATAACGTCGGCTGTATCCCCCGGTCGCATCACACGTAGAGATCCCTTGAAGGACAGCTCTAACATCTTCGCACCCAGCATCATGTCGAGGGCATAAGCTGCGGCCTGTGCCTCCATGCGTGTCGTGTCCGCTAGGACGAGGTAAGTGGTCCGTTCAACGCTTGTGGAACGGCTGGCTTGGACAACAGACTGGTTCATATTGCTAGTGTCTATGCCGACCAGCAATCCGACTGCGCCTGAAAGCATCTCAGGATCGCAGCCCACCACGTCAAAGCGTACCACAGAATTCAACCATATGAGTGTGTCTTGAATCTGTTCAAGAGCTATAGAATGGACAGCAAGCTCCTTCACACGCGGCACCAAGGTCTCGTAGGCTTCAACAAACTGCCGATCAGGCATAACAAAACCAGGCAACGAAAGAAGCACAACCTCAACGCCGTGAGCCTTAGCTGTTACCACCTCACCGACACACCACCTCTGCAGCAAGAAAACCGGACCTGCAAGGACCACCAGAGTGTCGATGTGCTGGGCGATGCAGGTGAAATGTTGCGTCAGATCCGTCAGATCATCAGAGCCAATAAAGGTCCGCAAGTTGTGCCTTTGCTGCAGCTCGAGCTTCAGCAAACGTGCCAACGTCCCCGCCTCGGGCGTGTGGTGGCTGAGGGCGAAGCGGAAGCGCCGTTGCCTTGAGCAGCGGCGCCGCGCAGCCGACACCACAACCAGGACACCCCAAACGAGTATGATACAGCTGGCTACGAAACAAATGGTCATTAAAGTGTGGCCGTCTTCGACGCTGAGAGTATAGAACTTTCCCATGTCCAAGACCAGCAGCAAGCCGACGTGCATCGCCAGATCCGTGTACGTGGCCAGCTTCGTCCGCCACGGCTGCCAAAATGCCACCCCACCGAAAGTGCTGTAGAGGGATATGCAGAGCACCAGCAAACTACCAGCCTGGGATGCGATCAGAGGAGAAAATGTCAGGAGGACGTTCCGGGTCAAGACAACAACAGCGAAGACCTCTACCCCCGGGCGGCATCGCAGAATCAGGAAGGAACAAGCATTGACAAAGTCTATGTCGCCCGATTGAATGCGCTTCGGAAGATCGATAAAAAGAATCCGAACGCAGGTGGCGAAGAAGGCAATCGGAACTTGACATATCACAATGGCGACCATGCATATCTCCAGGTGCTCACCACGGAAATCACAGAGCACGTCATTTCGGGATTGCATGGTCCTGTCTCCATTCGGATGCGAGTTGCAATAGAAGGGTTCAAGAATTGACGACAGGATTGAAATTAAGAACAGCATAGAGAACGAGCCGACGGTCTTCGCCAGCAAGTCCAAGCGCAAACCACTTCGCATCCAGCAAACGTAGGCGAAGTGCACAAGCAGCAAAGACAAAACGAAGGTCAGCGGAAGCAATGACGCGGCGGCCAGGTACCCTTCCACTGCCGACGTCGGGAGAACGCATTGAATCGAGCTGAATGAATACACCAGCGCATCCAACGATAGGTACTCCGACGCCCTCAACAAGAGCGAAAAAGGCTCCTGTGCGAAGCAAAAGAACTAAGTGTTTAAGTGTATTCATGTATGTGTTCGGATCTTCCTTTTCTCACGAAAAAAAACGTCAAAAGTTGCGGCCGCTTTGCTTCCCTTCAGAAGCGCACAAGCCCCGCCAAGAAGCCTCCCACGGAATCCGCAACCTTCGCATGATGCCAAACACCTGAGCCAAGGTCACCAGTTGGTTGAAGCCCAACGCCACGTTCAGCAAGCTCCCATGCTGCCTGCCATGGCCGGCTGACTGCCCCTCTGCGATTAGAGAAGCATGCAGACAGCCCACAATCAAAACCCCCAGCAGGCAAAGGCCAACGACGATGGCAAAGTCCGCTACAGCGCATTCGCGGCAGTGGCCGTCCTCTTGCGGCTGGAATCCCGGCAGGCACTGAGCACATGCCAGGCTCCGGTTGTCGCGGCCTGCCGCGCAGCTGCCGGGAAGGCCACCCGAGCAGCGTTGCGAGTTGCCGAAGCAGCGGAAAACGTTGCCGGGATCCTCGGGGAAAGCGAAGAAGCCCGGGTTGAGCGTGAGGTTCGTAGGTCCAAGACAAGTCGCGCCCTCCAGGCACAACTCGCATTGGCCTTGCCAGAAGTGGCGGCCTTCTGTGCATGCGCAGACGTCCTTGGAGGTGGCCCCACGCACTTCGATCCACCGGCGAGAACCGTCGCCCTTGCTGCCCTCGTCCAAATGGCTCGCCACCAGCTCCTTCGTAGTCCAGCTATCGTCCCCGCAGCTGTCGCAGGCCGTGAGACCTTCCTGGTCTGCAAACGTGCCCAGCGGACAAAGGCCGCATTCCGTGGCGCCCGCCTGATTGGCGACGCGACCCAAGGCACAGAGATTGCAGCTAATTTGGTTCGCAAACTCCTGGTAAGTGCCCGGGCGACACGTGGCACAGCGGTACGTGAAGCCCTCGTCGTCCAGAAGGGGTTCCGAGAAGCGACCAGACGAACATACGCTGCAACCGACCGCATCGTCGCCACGACTCAGAAGAAATTGGCCACCTGGCCCGTTCCACACGGACCCTGAAATCAGGTTATAACATGCTGCAACATCCCGAAGAAAACTAGAAGCAACAAGTGCCCTGTGGCATCCCCACCTACATCAGCAAGACCTGACCCCGCGTCGCACGTCGTGGGAATCCATGTCCTCCACAACGACTCGCTGGATTGCACCCAATCGCAGGCCGCGCGATGGATCACGGAGCTTCCTTCCCCGGGACCATCACTGGGCGAGATTCCGCCCTCAGCTAGCCGCTGGTTCAGCTCCTCCAACATCCGAATGTCAAGTGCAAACCTCTCGATCAAGGTGTGGACTCTTGCTGCCTTGGTCTGGAGGTTCGTGCTGACCAGCTTTCCCACATATGCCGGGGGCTCCTCTGACCTCCGGTTACCCATGGCCCATTCACTGGCATTATACATAGGAAAGAGCAGAGGAACCTTGTCTACCTGAAACCTGGGCTGGTTTTGAGACATGAACTGGATTCCAGTTCCTTTCCAGGAAAATGAAAATTGAAACAACAAGCTCCCATCTTTAGCCCAAACACTCGTATTGCTCCGGCTCCCACCAGTAGAACAGGGTGTTCCCGTCTCTCATTTTCGCGAAGAAATCGTGCACTCGTATGCAGCTTCCCACGGCCAGAGGCAGGGAATGATGAGCCGACCTCAACTTAGAGTCTTGATCTCGCTCGAGTTACGTACCTGCTTTCGTTTCGAAATACATTAACTCACCAGTTCAAGCTTCACAGTTCACGTATGACTGAAGGGTGTTGCAGGCTTGGGCGGAAGTGTCAGCAAAGCGACCAGTACATGATTTCAAGAAGGAAGAGGTGCTGTTCCAAGGTGATTACTGCAATGCAGCTTGTCACATTGTGACGGCACGCGGGTGCAATCCAGAAGTGGCCGTCGGGGCACCAAACTGTGGGCGTTCGGTCAGCATCCTGCGTGACTCCGTCTACGTCGCCAGTCAAGTTGACGTAAGTGTTTAGCTCGTCAGGAGAAGGCAACCAACGATTGAGCGAGCGGTTGCAGGGGTCGAAGTCGCTGATATTCAACGAGTCAATACCATCGAAATACTTCCTCGGATCGTGATGCGTCGTGTTGAAGCTGCCGTACACGTTCAGGATAAAGCCATCCTGTAGAAAGAACTACATCCACTGACAAGACAACAAACAGTAATGGCCCACATACCTTATAACTGACAATTGGCATGAGGATGGATACTGTACTCCACCTCCTCCTCCTCCTCCTCCTCCTCCTCCTCCTCCATTTTTTGACGTCACCACTCACACATCCGAAGCATCCAGAAGCCAAGCAAACAAGAACAGCAACTGAAACAACAAGCCGAGCAGAACGTCGATGATGTCAATGAGAACCGCAGAAACGTGCCTCGTAGTAGTTGATGCACTGGCAGGTACATCAGCAGAAAAGCAACAACGAAGAACAGTCATGAAAACGGTGACACCTCTACTTGTAGTCATCATACTGAGTCGTAACGATGGTCGTATTGTAAAACCGTCGGCAAGGGAGAAGAAAGGCACGCCGCTGCAATGAGCCCTTATCCGTTCATGACAAACACAAGATTCGCGCCACGCTGAGCCAGCCAAGACTATCAAAACTTGCCGAATTCGATGTCGCATTATGCAGAACGGCGTCCCTTGCATCATACCTGCATCTACCCCAAACGGTCAGATGATGTAGCAATCTAGCAGTCCAAGAACTGTGAACCAAGGAACCATTCCACATGCGGGTCCTAAAAGTGCACTGCGCGATGGAGGGTCGCACTCGCCAGGAGCGGAATTGACAACTCTGGCAAGTGCTTGCATATTCAAAGTCTTAGAACGGAGTGTCTCGAGATCACACCAACGGCCTTTTGGGGAACGCAGTGGCTTTCGTTGATTGAGGCCACCTCGCAAAAAACATCGCTGTAGTTGGCAGGAGCTGGGCTGATCATTGCCATGAATTCGGTATTCGGCGAGCATGCAGCTCGGCACAGACCCTCAACGTAAGAGCCCATAGTGTTACCACGCTGTTTGGCAAGGTGAAGGCAATCCACGGGTCATGCCTGCCTCCAAGAAACATCAAAGCCTCGTGAAGCGTTGATATACTCGAACTCATAATTGACCCCGTCGGAACCTGACACCCCGAAAAACATACATCTGCTTCTTGTCTTACATGCCACCTGAAGAAGAAGATCACAAGTATCCTCGGGTCCTGCAAGGCAGCATCTACCAGCGATCGTTTCATGTAGATGCCGTATCGAGTGCGATACCTTCTCTTCGGCAGGAGTTAACATGCGCTTTCAGAAGGACTCTCAATGCTGCTGCTACAGGCCTTTCCTTATCTTAAACCCAAATGCACCGAACCCCGAACCATCTTTTCAGGCTGGCTTCTGACCTCTTCGTTCGGGCCTTGAAGTTCCAGGGTTTTGCGAGGACAAGCCCCAGGCATATCTCGAGCTTGTAGGGTTTCATCTGAGCCCTTTATGATGTCTAGATTCAAGGTTTCGGTAAAGGCGGATGCGTAGTGTTGGTGCCTCTGGCTTTAAGGTGCTAGCTCGTCGGCCCCTCGCTGACAAGAGCTTACCACGAGATTGAATTCTGTCCTGACCTGCCAGATGCACTCTTCTACCAGCTTCGTGGCTGCATGATACACGTTTTGGATTCGTAGTGTGTTTCAAAGAGTTGGTACTTTGCAAACGTCAACCTCGCCGAACATGGCTTCAAATCCACCATACCTTCCAGAGCCCTGGGATCCTGGATCCGAGCTTTGGGAGGGCTCGACACTTCGATTTCTGTAACATCTGAAAAGCTGAGTTTACCCAACAACCCTCAAGCCTGTGCTTGCGATCCGCATAGCCGAAGGCCTCAAAAGTTCACGGTCATCAGAACCTTACAAAACGCTCAAAGCCAAGCGACCCCATGGAGCCCAAATCCTTTGGACTTCGCTGGCAGCACTCTTCCAATTCCCGGAAGGGCTGGGTGAAGGCTTGCTCGTAAGGCTGTGGCCCAAAGCCTGCTGGGAGTGCCACAAACGTAATGTAACGGGAAAGGTGGCGCTCATCCTTCAAACCCGACGCTGGATCCGCTAGCTTCGTTGAACGACCGAAAATGCTTACTGGCTTAGGGTGCTTTTCGTGTAACAAGCTTTGGCTTAAAGGGCTGTAGGATTTTGTTCTTTGATTCAATCATCGCCGACGGTACTGCGAGCTTAAAGATGAACAAAATTGCAAATAAAGAGGGGCCTGTGTCCAAAGCTATGTGAACTCGGTTTTCGCCAAGGATGCACTGTGAATTCCCCCAAGCACTAAAATTCAGATCTTTGCACGACAGCCATCTCTCAGCTTCATATATAGACTCGTACTCATGCTTGTACTCCACATGGTAGCCCAGCTTCTCCGAGATCAAGATGCCCGCAATGTGCGACAGCACTTTGGAAGAAGATTCGATATATATGAAGAGGCCTATCGGGAGATCCTCCCCTTGCTCGTCCTGTATATATGCACGGCTTTTGTTGGCAATGCCTGACGCTAAACACAGCTCAGAAGAAGCGAGGGTTGGCATTGCCAAAAGCAACACCAACACCAGGTAGGGTAAACCTGCCATGGCGTTGGCACAAGTGTCCACCAGGATCCTAAATTTCAACCTCTTCCCGTGACCTCCTTGCTGCACTGATTGTTCAAGGATGCTCAAAGCACTCTCATAGCGTTCTACCAGGTGCCACATGCCACATGCAATTCGAGGACCAAAACTGCGGAACATGTTTTTGGAACCTGCGCGGCCCAGAGTACTTGCAACCTACGGTGCAAAAGGCGCTCCGCACGCATGACCCGGTTCGAATCACCGGCAATCGCCTGGGCCTGAATCGATCCAGCCCCGGCCCTCCGGCTTCACCGCTTCGTGATTTCGTGAACTTCCTGTGACGCATTCGTACTCTGTAGCAGCCTCGCATCCTCGCATAGCCGGTGAGCGAACCGGCTCGGGGCACATGCCACCGCCTGGGTCCTGTCGCAAGCCTTCGTCATGCATACTAGCGACTCCGGCCTCGCCTTCAATCTCGCACTTGGGCCAAGAGGGGAAGGACGCACTCGGCCTCGACCAACGCCCGAGTTCACTTCCGCGAGGAGCTCATGCAGCTCAGGCCCCGGCCCGTCGCTGAGATCAGCAGCGAAGGCTCGTTGTGCGGCTACTGCAAGGGGCCGGACCATCGTGCAACCCAGGCGGTGATCCCGGCAGGTCGCAGGTGCGTCGGGACGGCGGCGGCACGATGCCGCCAAGAGGCGTGGACTGGACTGTCTGTGTTGAACCTGCCGCAAGTCGTGGTGCCGAGGACGACGAGGCGGCATCGTTGGGCCCGGCCGAACTCGGGGTAAGTGCTGTGACGCTTGCGCCTGGCCGTGGCACTGACTGCGCAACCTGGCAGGGTGTCTGTGCGGGTCGTGTCAGGGGGGACACGATTGTGGCATCAAGTGCCAACTGAAACCCGTGTCAAAAAGGGAGGCCATTGGCGACAACCTCGATGCGCTGTTCATCCGCGACCGGCACGTCGAGGTTCATGTCAACGAGGCTGACATTGCGGGCGACCCTCGCCCCCCTTTCGCAGCAACCCGCGCGACGGCATGCTCGAGGGGCTTCGTACGTGTCGACAGCACCCCGGAGGTGGCACACGTTCCCAGCTATGGCGTTGAGTGTTTGGATGCTCGTGCGCCCTCTGTGAAAGTCTACTGCAAGCTCATCGCCACCATACCAAACACAGGCCATGCAGCTCGCGCTCCGGCCCCACATGCCGCTCCAGATCTGCTACGGCAAGTCCACACCGAAAGACATCTGAATCCGTGGTGCATACCGTAGACATACCTACATTCGTGAAAGCCACGACATTAGTGGGGTTTGCTGCCAGCTGCCCATGGCCGTGTTGGTCACGGCCTGCTAACCACACAGCATCGCAAACGTGCAGCTTACCACGCCGTCGAACAAACGTGCGGGAAGGATGCGGCATAACTTCCAACGATAACAAGACTTGGGCGCGGCCAACAACAAGGCCATCCCAGCTTGGTGACACTGGGCACACATTCCGTATTTTCATCTATATTCCCGGTCAAAACATGTCGAGATGTTGGATGCGAACCCACCAAATGCTCTTGAACTCACCGTCGCTCCGCATACGCACAGGTCTAGCCGGAGGCTAACTTGCAGGCAGCTCCTAAAAAACATTATAAATCGCTCGGAGCTTTGCCCGCTAGACGGCAGACTAGCCGAAATCCCTAGAGCCGGCAGATCCCCTTCTTCGCCCCTGTCCTCTCGAGCAAGGTCGCAGCAATGCACCCCAGAGAAGATGCGGTAGCTACGACAAACATGTAGCAATGCAGAGGCAACGGCCCGTAGCCGTAGTCTGGACAGGTGCATGGCCTTAGCCAGCTGACCAGCAAGGGCTACGGGTGCCGGGCGGGCCGCCAGGTCGCCCGCAAATGCGAGGTCCAACACCACCTGCTCAGCCGTCTCCCTGCTGGTTTGTACCTCGCTGCGCGCAAACTATCTGCTTCGACTCCGCCTGGCGTGACGCAAGCCTTCGCACGCGAGCATTCGCACGCGAGCATGACAACGCCGTCCGCGCATGCCTGGCCTAGCCGCCTTGCTTTCTCAGAGCACTCGACAACGGCTACCCAAGCTCGCGCAGCGCCTCGCCCATGTCCCTTTGCGTGGCCTCGGGTTGCGCTCGGCAATCGACGCAGCACCCTCCGCTTGCTGGGCATCGTGGGTTGATTGTCTCCCCACCACTCGGGCGCGCGCGCCGCTGGCAGCCGACCGTTTGATTGGTCCAAGCGCTACAGCCCGCGACCAAGACCGCTGCGCCCCTTGCAGCTGCCGGCGACGCAGCCACCTGCCTTCGCGAGCAGGGCTACGATGCCCCTCGCGGGCCTCGCTTCAGCAGGGGCGTGCAGACCGCGACTTCGGTGACATTCTGCGGGGCCGGCAGCATCGAGCTTCCCTTGCCAATGTAAAATGCGCACTCGAGTTGCATCTCTCTCACTTCGCACCGAATCTCGGGCGCTGCTGCTGTCACAGGCTGGGCCGCATGCTTGCAGGAGCCTTGACAGTCCCAGTCGGCGATCACAGGGCTGCCTGCGCAACTTCCCGAGTGCTCGCTTCCTGCGCTCTCCATCTTGAACGGGGGTGGGTACGCCGTGTTGCGACTTTCGAGAAAGTTCGTCAGTGCAGTTGCGCCCTGCCCTCGCAACATCCCCCCCCCCGCCGAGCCCCTTGCCCAACAAGCGCCAGTATTCATGGCTTCATATTTTCGAAACATTTCCTTTTTTAAAACATTGCTTTCCGCAGCTCTTTACGTCCGCGCAAAGTACCTCCGTCAGAAGCTACCCAGACCTACAGGCGTCTACGAGATGCTAGCGAAGCGGCAGCCGGCTCGGGGCGCTCGCTATTGCTGGGTCCAAGACATCACCCAACGAAAAAGCCTCTGGTGCACCAGGCAACGGTGGCATGGCCACAGCTGCAGAACCTCGGGAGCTGGCGTGCGGCAGGTGTGCCAGTCGCCGTGCCGGGTCCGTCAGCGCGGCGAGCGTTGCGGCACTGCCAGGAGCTAAAGCCGCTGGCGTGAGCAGTTGGCGTGAACGGGAGAGCCATGGAGAGCCGTCTGCGCCGGACTTTGGCACAAGCTGCGGCAGCTCGCGCCTCTTTTGTCCCCACCTCGGCGACGAGGCAGGCAACTCGTGCAAGCGGCTTTGGCGGAACAGCTCGACCCGGCGCAGGAGAGCTTCTTCGATATAATTATAGCCAGCTGATGCACGCGCTCAGTACTGGTGTTCGTTTCCTAGCATCCCCTAACATCGCTGCTGACGCTCGCTAGGTAACCACAGCATCCACAGCCGCACAAAACGAGGCCACATAATTTCCTCGTGGTCGGCAGCCCGGTCGAAAGCTCCTTCAATCAGTTTACCGAGCGCCGTCAGCTTCAGCTGCTTCAGGCTGGCCGCACCAGTGTGGCCGCATCCTCGCGCCATTAGTTGCAGCGCAACACATGTCACGAGCATGGGTCTCCATCGCCCCAACCACCACTTGCCATCAGCGTCGTGTCATCCCCCCACTCGACCTCGGTCTCCACCTCGTCGAGGCCAATGGGCCGAGCTGCCTGCCTGCTGCTAACCCGCAATGTCCAACAGCAAACAAGCGGTAAAAAAACAAATACACGTGCCATGTTTCCGCAAGTGATGGCTGCTGATGGCTTCATGCCTTCCTCGCATTACACAATTAACACTTCATCATGGAATGCGGTTTCACGGCACACCTGCCCGCGCACGAGGGAGGAGATAGGAGGAGGATGCTTTGTTGCTGAGGATTTTGCCTTCGAACGACCATTGATCGTTGTTCGAACGTACAACAGTACAAGCATAGTACACGATTCGTCGGCGAAATTATACAATTGCACGGGGCGGTTGATGGTTGCGGATGTGAACTTTTGCCAAATTGAGCTGTTGCCCTGTTCGGGTGCGAGCACGCCAACATCCCCAACCATACTGTAGATAATCGAATCCGCAGAGTTGCTGCGAGCTGACGTGTGTAAAATGGTCAATCATTTAGGCAAGCTCGTGCCATATTGGGCAAGGGAGAAAAGCTTGGACATTGAGCATGCGCGATACGAGTGCGCTTGCGCCACCGAATGCTACGGGCAGCATGGAGATATGCTGCAATATTGCACAACGTGTATTCCAATGCGCATTACGCATAGAAATCCGTTCGTTCCAAATTCTTTTTACCTTGAGCAACAAATCCGTTGCTGCTGAGGTTGCAGGTTGTTGGAGCGACGAATCGTAACGCCTATCACGAAGGTCAGCCGCTCGCGATGGTGCTGGATTTTGCTTAGCAGCCGCCACCTAGCCGAACCAGCAGCTTCCTGATGCTTCCTGTGCACGGTGGGCTGGCGGTGGTGACATCAGCATGTATAGCTTATCTCGCGGGAAAAAAAACTTGATCCCAACATATCCCAACCAAACAATTCGCAACGTTCCGCTGGCCGATGTTGGCCAAATGCGACGGCGACTTTGCTGACAAACGTGGGGGGGTTGATGTCGCGCTTTGGCCGTCTGAGGAAATGACGGTGGCATGTGTACCGATCTCCGCTAACATGGTGACATATATAATATTACTGGTGATCAAAGGTCTCTCCACTTGTCATGATTATTTGGTTGGTGCACGTGGGGAGGTGCCAAGGCCGACGGGCCGGATGTTGATACCGGGGCATTAGACTGTTGCAAATCGCTGATTGGCAATCCGGTTTGCGACGAAACAAGCATCGTGGAAAACAGCACCGAAACGCCCATAAAACTTCAGGCCTTCGTTCGTCCGGTCCCGAGCATGCCGCAGTCAGGCTGCGGGATTCCGCGCCAACTGGTTCTTGCTGAAGCGCCCGCTAACCTCGAGGTCAAATTTTGTCCGCGCGCTAGGTCACGCAGGGTCCCCCCCGAGAAGGAAGATTGACGAACCCGGGTGTGTCAGTTTTCATGTCAGCATCAACAATAGCCGCGCGGGGCCGGTTGTCTTGGACGATCTAC